ACTGCTGAATAAACATGGTTGGATCATGAAGAGGTAGTATATGTTCTTGAATGTAGACTACCCTAAAGTGATCTGATGTTGTACAGAACTCACTGCTGAATAAACATGGTTGGATCATGAAGAGGTAGTATATGTTCTTGAATGTAGACTACTGGCTTAAAGTGATCGGATATTGTACAGAACTCACTGCTGAATAAACATGGTTGGATCATGAAGAGGTAGTATATGTTCTTGAATATATGTAGACTACCCTAAAGTGATCTGATGTTGTACAGAACTCACTGCTGAATAAACATGGTTGGATCATGAAGAGGTAGCTAGTATATGTTCTTGAATGTAGACTACTGGCTTAAAGTGATCGGATATTGTACAGAACTCACTGCTGAATAAACATGGTTGGATCATGAAGAGGTAGTATATGTTCTTGAATGTAGGCTACCCTAAAGTGATCTGATATTGTACAGAACTCACTGCTGAATAAACATGGTTGGATCATCAAGAGGTAGTATATTTTCTTGAATGTAGACTACCCTAAAGTGATCTGATGTTGTACAGAACTCACTGCTGAATAAACATGGTTGGATCATGAAGAGGTAGTATATGTTCTTGAATGTAGGCTACCCTAAAGTGATCGGATATTGTACAGAACTCACTGCTGAATAAACATGGTTGGATCATGAAGAGGTAGTATATGTTCTTGAATGTAGGCTACCCTAAAGTGATCTGATGTTGTACAGAACTCACTGCTGAGTTAAGCATGGTTAGATCATGCCGAGGTATTGAAACAATTATACATAATTGTGCATACCTAAATCATTCAGAGGTAGCACATGTTCTTGAATGTGAGTTATCATCCTAACGTTATCTGGTGTAGTCACTGTAGTGTACAGAATTCACTGCTGAGTTAAGCATGTTCTTGAATATGGATAACCACAAAGTGATCCGATGTTGTACAAACTTACTGCTGAGTTAATTGAAACAACTACATAATTTGTGCACATACCAGTTTTTTTGCTGGAACGTTCGTCACTTGAATTTCTTTGGCTGTTCCAAAAATATCAAGAAAAAAACAACTGCATTAAATTTCGCATTTTCTATTGATAAGATTCTCACTGATAACTATGCGAAGCTTTTTGTTGTTCCTCTCTAAAAGAGACCTCAAAACTGTAATTTCTACACGTAAACGTAAGTCTAGAATTTTTGTGCGGAATATTTAATTTTGTCGATAATTATTATGTCATACATTGCATAATACCAAACCCACGCAAACACCAAAGTTATTCATTAATGTCTTTAAAAAGCTTACCTATATCTCTTCTTGCGTTTCCACAAGCACCAGACAACGACGGCCAAAACTATCAGCAGTACTACAGGTACCACAATGGCTATAGTAATTGTTCCACCAGAATTATCATCACTGCTCGATACCTCACCCGGTGTACTTGTTGTAGCTGACGAGGTTGTTGATGTTGCCATGGAAGTATTTAAGCTGACGTCAGAAGTGGCTGATTTAGTTGATTGTGTAGTTATTCTCGATAGTGTAGTTGGTTCATTAGTTGCTACAGTACAGTAGTTGTCGACATTTCCAACTATATGTGAAATTTATTAGTTTAGTTTATATACAGAGTTCACAGCAACCACGCAGGTAAAATGTCCGAACCCATGTTTTGCTACTCTGGTTTTAAGTGAATGAATTTAATCCTCCAACAATTTTCTGACACAAGTAACTACATAAAGTACCTGGAGAAAACCTGAAGCGTTTGTTAGAGTCTAACTAGTGGAACCATGCTTTTATTACGCGCTCAATATAATTAAGGCGTATTATTATTTATTTAAAAAATTCCTGGTTTCTGATTGGCTAACAGCCAACTGTGAAATTGTCATATCAACTCAATGGCTAACCAGAGATGGCTAACCAGAGATGGCTAACAAAATGACGTCAAAGAGTCAATATGAAAAAAATTTGGACGCGTTTGCGCCATATTACTATGACGACGAGAATCATATTGACTCGCTGACGCCATTTGACGCAACGACGGCTGCTGAAGGACTAAGGAATTGTTTTTTCATCTTAATACAAATAAAATACAAATGTTTGTTTTGAATTTTTTAAATAAATAATAAAACAATTATTGAATTCGGTTTTCGCACAAAATGAAGAATTATCAAGCCCTCAGTTTGCCGTTATCAACCTCACTAGTCACCCTTCGGCTTCGGTTGATAACGACAAACTTCGGGCTTGATAATTCTTCATATCGTGCTCAGCCTCATTCAATAATTGTTAAATAACGGCTTATTGACCGAGCGTGAGGTCTTTACTGTGAACTATCAGACCGAGGTCTTTTATAACACCAAGGACAAGCTAGTCCATACATAAAACTAGTAATCGCGCTCGAGCCAAAGAATTTTTCGTTGGTTGATTGCAGTGTCAGATTAATATGAAACTAGTTTTTCGTATCTCTGAGGATGGTTCTGAAAAAGGTCCATACATGTTCCAAGAAAATTGTTTACTTTTGCCTTTCACTGGACATCATGGTCTACATATCCGTTCACAACTTAGAAAAGTTCTTGCTTCTGCTTATCCACATATTTCCATACGTGTTGTTTTCCGTCCCTCTTGTCGCCTTTCTAGTTTCTTTCCATTTAAAGATAGGATTCCCTTTGCCCTCAGATCACATGTTGTGTATCCGGTTCACGTGTCAATGCTGTAGCGCATTGTATGTTGGCCAAACACGCCGACACATTCACACACTATCTCAGTGCATACGGGAGTCTCGCCTTTGACTGGAAAAGTACGCTCTATCTCAACCATGTCTAGTAGTATACTCGCTCACAAACACATGCACAAACACCCAGTCTCCGCTTCTGATTTCAAAATCCTATCATCAGGCACTTCTGAGTGGGATCTTCTTATCTGTGAAAGCCTATTAATTTCTCAACTTAACTTAACCCTGTCCTTTAATCTACCCCTCTTGAGTTATTCTAGTTGTACTTAACATTAATCTTTACTTATTAACTAGGGTACCTGCAAGGTAGGGATTGCTGCGGGCATCATAAGCAAATAGAACTACTGACAGTAAATAGTACACATTATATATCAAGCACAGTTATTATTACTCGCAGCGACTAGTGAGCTGTGAGCTTAAGGCCTTAAGCCAGTATTAAGGAATCGATTCTTACCATGAGTGGAACTGCGAAAAAGCAGTATATATTTGATATTATATATTAAAGTAGCCAAGACTAGGGGTTAAAGAGCAATCGCAGGTGACAGATATTAAACATGTGCGTCTCATTGACATACAGGTAACTTAATTATATAACACATTAAACACAAGTTTTTTCTATCAGATTTCATATCAAGTCTGTTTACTGCTAGGCGCATTTACCACATTATATAGACTATATACACAGATTTATTACACTATAAAAATATAGAACTGTCAGTGGCCAAAGTCCATTGAATGAACAACGCACGAATCAATGCAAAAATAACGAAAATTAGAACATCGAATCGTTTTGAAAACTTGTGCTAAGCCGGACGGCCGAAGCGAAGGCCTTTCAATGCTTCCACGTATTTATGAAACATCACTTGATGCAAAATATGTCCACTTTTGAAGACCCGCTAGAAATATTGGTGGCTACGTAGTGAGTTTTAATTACGCATGTGTAGTGCGGTGAGACTGATTTATGAAGACTGCGCATACAAATGCGCACGACCACAATTCCATGGGACGCTAAAAATCTGCTTTTTTACTGCCTACTACACAAATTAGGCTGCTGCTTCGCTCGCTCGCTTCAGGCTCGCTCGCTCCGCAGCAACTAGTTACTGATAAGTTGTTTTCTTTTCTTTCTATTCATTTGCTCTTTCAAACTATGTAACCGTTTTTGTAATATTAGAGCATTATTTTGTAAATATATATACCATGTCCCTTAAATTCATCTATAGATGCTCTGAAGAGGTTGTATTAGCTGATGTTGATTTAGTACATCAAGTCGCTTGACTATAACAAGAAACTGTGTCTGTGAGTTTGAAATGCTGGTTCCCGATTGAAGACGGATGCTAGCTTTGCCTTTTATATTGATGCCAAACTTCGGGATCATTTGTTGAAACAGCTTTCTCTTTTAAATAGTCTTTATTAAATATTTCACGTCTTAAGTCATTCGTGATCCAAGGGGATTTCCTAGCTGTTCCATTAGCATGCTTTTCCAAATTTCCCACATTTTATTCGGGTCTTCGGAGCAGTAGACAATACCCCGATGTTTTTGCTCGAGGTCCCTCAAGAAATTTTCGCTATTGAAATTCTTCATTGTTCTTGCCTCAATGCGCCTTACGCATAGATATCTTATATACACTAGATAGCGCATCTCTATAGTAAAATTGAAGCCAAGAATATTCCAGCGGTTACCCCCATTTGAATAGATGGCGGCCATTTGGAGTTTCCCACTCGCTAATAAACGCTTACTGAAAAACAACAATAACTTTCATCATTTGAATAGTTTGAAAATGTATTTGGAATAGGTTTAACTTAATGTTTAAGTTCCCTGTTTAAGAAATAGAAAACATACGAGTCTTCTCATTTCATGGGAATATCCCGAGTCTGCAATCACGGCTTCAATTTTCGAATTGCAGAATAATTAGATGCATCATCTAATGTATATAAGATATCTATGGTCTTACGGTCATCTCGTGCATAATGAGCTTTATCAGTATTATGTATGACGCCTGAGTTTACAACATTAGCAAGCGCACTAGTAATATGTATAGATGAATCAGGGTTCTAGATTTGGCAGTAACACGAGTGGGTTCATTTACCATTTGTTCTAACCCATGTCAAATATTTCGAACAATTTTGCTCTGATGCTTGTGATGTTACTCTGAGTGTATATTCACAGCGGGCAAGCTTGAAAAATGTCCACGGTGGGAATCGAACCTACGACCTTTGCCCTTTGGAATACTAGACCAAGATCGATTCGTAGGTTCGATTTTCACCGTGGCAAGGCATATTTTTCAAGCTTGCCCGGTGTGGATATACACCCAGAGTAACATCACAAACATCATATTCACTTGAGTACATTACACCAACACACACAGAAAAAATTTTGCTCTGTTTGGTGATGTAGCTGTTCATGACAGAAGGTCGATATTTAAAGGATTAGTGTCACACCAGGAATTCGCGGGCTCAAACTCCTGCTGGCGGCCATTTTTCGGGACGAATAGATTAGATGATCTGGAAAGTTTTTACAATCCGTATATATTTATACCATCCTTTTATAATACTTGCTCTTTTTGTGTGATTTTTATCAGAAATGTACCAAACAAGGTATTTTTATCACTATTTGTTGTATTTTAGTAAAGTGTAAACAATAACAAAAGCCCGCAATGCATGCATGACCCTGACACTAATCCTTTAAATCACGCAACAGGAAGTGTTCCAAATTTTCTGCGTCCATTGCCCCAATCATTTTCAGAAAAATGACTCACAGGAAAATCAGGACGTCTGTATCAGGTACTCACTAAAATTGACTTTGATCGTGGTTTCTTTATTTCCACGGTCAAATTTCCAATAATTTCCGAATTTAGATCGTCACGTATTTGAAAATTCAGGTTAGGCCGAATATAAGAAACTAAGGTTAGGTTCTCATCATGCCCGCGCTAGCTGCAGGTCTTGAATATTCTCTCACATATGAATATTCATTTCTGTTCCTTTGAATTATCTCACTACATGTGGCGAGACCTCATTCAGATTCTCGGCTTAGAATTCTCTACCGAAAGAAATACGAGAACGAAAACTACTTGTGCGGTTCAAGAATGAGTCTTTATACTTGACAAACACGAATGCTCTTACGCACAATTGTAGCCTAGTATAGTTTGTAATTTTAAACATTTTACATTATATAACCTTATTCATGCACTGTTACGCACTTATGTTATGTTATTGTATACTACTTTCATGTTTCGCTCGCTACTTTGGTTTAGATAAATGATTACAAAGCCCAGTCGATTACAATTCGACTGGGCTTTGTAATCATTTATTTAAACCAGAGTAGCGAGCGAAACATGATTGATATACCTGGTTGCAGTGAACGAACAAACTTTAAATGTACTACTACCTGTTATACACTGATTACGCGAAATCTGTTGATTATTTCGTCTAGAACCACTGTGAAAAATTGGTTGAATTTAGTGTGCGTGTTTTGTGATGGGTGAAAATGATATGTATCTCATGCGTAATGTGCTCATTTTTGATAACGTAATGTAAAAAATAAAATTTACTTACTCAGTAATGTCGTGAACCATACTGTGCGTGTAGGCAAGACGAAAAGAATTTTTTGACGGGAGAGGGGTTCTAAAATTACGTCGGATCACTTCAGAGATCCCACTCTGAAGTGCCTGATGATAGGATTTTGAAATCAGAAGCGGAAACTGGGTGTTTGTGCATGTGTTTATGAGCGAGTATACTATTAGACATGGTTGAGATAGAGCGTACTTTTCCAGTCAAAGGCGAGACTCCCGTATGCTCTGAGATAGTGTGTGAATGTGTCGGCGTGTTTGGCCAACATACAATGCGCTACAGCATTGACACGTGAACTGATACACAACATGTGATCTCAGGGCAATGGAATCCTGTCTTTGAATGGAAAGAAACTAGAAAGGCGACAAGAGGGACAGAAAACAACACATATGGAAATATGTGGATAAGCAGAAGCAAGAACTTTACTAAGTTGTGAACGGATATGTAGACCATGATGTCCAGTGAAAGGAAGGCAAAAGTAAACAATTTTCTTGTAACATGTATGAATCTTGTCCTTGGTGTTATAAATCCTGTCAAGGAATGTCTTAATGCAACTATCTATAAGTGATTTAGGATAACCATTGGAAGAAAAGGTTTTCCTAAAATTTTCCATTTCAGACTGGAAAGATATGTAAGAAGAACAAATATTGAAATATCGAGATATAAGAGAAAAAAAGAGACCTTTTTTGTACATCATTGGAATATAGCTATCAAAGTTTGTGACTGTGTTAATCATGTATTGCAATGTCGGAGGATGAGTTGAAATTTTTTTAGTCAAAAAATTTCACACCCTAGGGAAATATTCTTGGGTTTATATGACATCATAAATTTGACGGGGGCAACTCTAAATCGACACGAAGTTGATTTTGTTATTATCTGTGAAGATTTAGGTTACTGTTGCCTCTGTTGGTGTAGAGACGTCTATTGGCTCAGTTTTTGCTAATATTATATAAAGAAGAAAACACAAAGCAATCATAACCGAAGACGAATCACAGGTTATATATAATACGATTGCTCATGATATATTTACAATATCCTAACCGCTTAATGCATGAGTCAATGTAAACCCCCCCCCACCGCCACCCCGGGCCAGGGTGGGGATTTGACTTTGACCTTGTTCTAATATTCGCAAATGCCCCACATCATGGGGAGCATCAAAGGTTCCGCATGTCAAAAAATGTCCCCTGTACCTGGGGCCTAAGCCCAGAAATTAAGACTTTTTAATTAAATACTGCTAAAACAGTTTAAGTTAAATAACTAGGGTACCTGCAAGGTAGGGATTGTTGCGGGCATTAAAAACCAATAGAAGTACAGTAAATAGCGCACAATCGCACATTATATATCAAGCACAGTTATTACTCACAGCAACTAATCAGGGGTTAAAGGGCAATCACAGGTGACAGATATTAAACATGTGGGTCTCATTGACATACAGGTAAATTAATTATATGACACAAGTTTTTGCTGTCAGATTTCATATCAAGTCTGTTTACTGCTAAGGCGCATTTACCACAGTATGTAGACTATATATACACAGATGCATTACACCATAAAAATATAGAACTGACAGTGGCCAAAGTCCATTGAGTGATCAACGCACGAATCAATGCAAAAATAACGAAAATTAGAACACCGAATCGTTTTGAAAACTTGTGCAAGGGTGGGTTGACTACAAAATTTTTGTAGTTCGCTATAACTACAGCTACTTCAAAAATACGTAGTCAGCTACAACTACTGCTGCTACTTTTGAACAAAGGTAGTTCGCTACTGACTACAGCTACTGCTTAAAAAATGTAGCGAACTATTTCGCTATTTCGCTACTCTATATTTTTTAGTTTTACGGTATTTTAAGCATCCACTAGCTCAGGCTGTAATCAGGGCCTTTTTTAACATACAAGCTGGGGAGGCATTTGCCCCCCCCCCCAGTCCCCCCTTGTGCCCCCCCCCACGAAATCACATTTTTCCCCCCCAGGAAAAGTCCCTTTTTCCTAAAATTATATAAACAATCCAGCGAAGATTAACAAATAGATAAATGGAAAGTAAGTTTTAGGCTTTATCCTTTGTTCTTGTTTAACAAAATCGATTTAAAGTGTTACTTTTTTTACCACTAAGTAATGATAAATTATTGTTAATATTTTTTTTATTTTTTGGATGCTCAGAATGCAGGAAATAGCATTTCACGGTTTCAAATTTCAAAAATTTTCTTGGGATTATCCCTCTAATAAGTAATGATAAATTGCAGTTAATATTCCTTTTTACTTTTAATTTTGTGCATTTTTCCATCTTTTATTTCAAATACAACTATAGTTAGCATAGATTTTAGAGCAAATTTGGATGCTCAGAATGCAGGAAATGGCATTTCCGTGGTTCAAATTTCAAAAATTTTCTCGGGGACAGGGCCGTAGCAACCGGGGGGGGGGGGGGGGGGGAGCCCCCCCAAAAATTT